TTCCACCATCTCGTAAAAGATGATCTACGTAATAATATAGCACATAACACCGCATGTCTCTTTTATTATTCTTAGATATGTCTATAGCTCTCAGTATTAGCCCTTTGAGTACGGACGACGAGAATTCTCATCCTGAGATATTTCACTCTGAATAACTTTAAAAAAACATGATCTTTTGCTTATTTAGTAGTATGAATTGCATGAATATTTGTATTTAGGATATTTGTGCGGTTAAAATCATCTATACTTACTGATGATTATTGGTTGTCCCATTTATTAAAATCAAACGTGAATTTGAGATTTAAAAAATTTTTATTATGTAAAATAATCCTTTACTCAAAGAGTTAAAGAAAGAGTCACGATGGTGCTAGTTTTTTCAGTTTGAAAATGCGCACGAAGTTCATTGACTACGGAACTATCATTTTGGTACGACTTCGCCGCATAAAATCACAATTTTGTTAGCAAATCGGAGATTTATTGAAAATGGATCAGTAGAAAATTTAGCACGCGGTGGTCGCCCATCAACTATTTTTTCTGAAGAGAAGCTGGAAGAGATTAAAAAAATGATCATTAATAATCCATCATTATCTATTCGTCAAGGTACTGCTGAAGCTGGTATAAGCAAAAGCAGGTATCAAGTAGTTAAGAAACAGCTTTACTCTAAACCATATCGTCCAACTCTGATACTTGGCCGTAATGAAGATGATTTCGATCGTCTCAGTGAGTTCTGTGAAATATGACTCGACAAATTCGAGAGTGATTCTGATTGAGTTGATCGTATATTCTGGAGCGATCAAGCCAAACTCAGTAGGAATACAGCAGTTAGCCGACACAATTGCACGTACTGGTCCTGGACAAATCCACATTTAACATTCGAAGTACCAAATAACCAAGAAAGAGTTGTGGTATGGTGTGAAATGACTTCCAATGGACTTGCTGGACCCTATTTTTTAACGATAGTGTTACTTTTTCATTGTACAAAGAAATGCTGGCTCAGCATGCATGGTCTCAACTGAAACGCAAAGGACTTTACTTTTAACATGACAGAGCAGGCGCTCAATATGCTGTTACTGTTCGAGAGCCGCTTGATGAAAAAGGGGCTGGTCGAAAGTCATCGATTTTTCCCACTCTGGAAATACGATAAAACGAAAGTACCTTAATACCCACGAAAAAAATTTTTGTACAAAACAGCATTTCAACGCAAACTTTTAGAAAAAAATGCTATTTTTGCGTTTTAACGCATCTTGTTTGTGTACAACGCGTCTAAACGCATCTTTTTTTATCCCCAAAGCGTTTAAATGCATTTTTTTTTATTTGCAACGCGTTTTTTTTTCAAATTAAAACGCAACTTGAAAACACCGTTTGAACACGTTTAGTTTTATGCGTTCGACTGCGTTTGTTTGTTATGCATTCAAATGCGTTTTTTAGCCTTCTTTTACCGGAAAGTGCGTATTTTTCGAAACATGTTGGAATGCTGTTGTTTTTAATGCGTTTTTTTTGAAAAAAACGGATATTTTACAAACGCGTTTGAACTCATTATTTGTATTGCGTTTTTTCATTAGGAAACGAGTATTTTTACAAATAAGTTTGACTATTATTCACATTCGTATTTTGAGTATAAAACTCCCATTTTATGAAGTAGAGTCTGCTATCATTTAGGCAAATATTTTGCAGTATCACATTCAAAATATACGGCTTAAATAAACCTGTACAGAGATGCATTTTATTAATCTAGTATAGCAGAATGTATCAGAATATTACGAAAGAAAGAAATAGTTAGGTAACAAAAAAGGACCGAAAGCGCACATGAATTAGATTAGTTTTTATCCGATATTAAAAAAATCTTAGCCAAATTATAAAAACTATAGATAAGATGATATCCGGATAACAACTCTATTAAAGGATTTCAGAGCTAAGATTAGCCAGACGAAGCTCGTTTTTAATTTTTAACAAACTTGTCAAAGATCCCTAATTAGAGTAATATTTTTATAAAATTTTTAATTTATTCAATGAGGTTAGATGTGAAAGGAAGAATACTGCGTGCTTCTGTATCTTCCTCATAGTATTCTACTCAATTTTTAGCTCGGCTTTTTTTTGTTATATTACGTTTACGTGATCTGTTAAATTGATGTATTGTAAAACTCGATATGCTTTCTTTCCCTATATTACTTTGTTTCTAATTGCTGAACTTATAATGTCATCTCACAATGTAGTTAAATAAAAAAAACAACGTTGATCCGTGGTTTGGTGAACCTATGACGAAATGCACTTTGACATACACATCACTTTTATTGGATAAATTTTTAATAGAATATTCGCTGTTTGTTTCTATTTATTAGCTTGAAATTCATTTTGGGTTTAACTCAATATTTCCTGAGAAAAGTGTAAGAAATCTTTATAGATGGCGCCACATATTTCTCTTATTCGTGCTTTTCTCCGAAAAAGTTCGGCTACACCCAAAACGATTTTCAGACTAATAAACAGAAGAAACTGTCGGATATTGTGTTAAAAATTCATCCAATAAAAGTGCTGTGTATGTCATAGTGCATTTTGTCTTAGACTTACCAGGTCGCACATCACATAATCATACAAAGTATTTTCATCGGATAAAAGTTTTCATAAAGATCTTGTTTTTTTCTGCTTATCAATTAAAATATTCTTCTGGATGAATCTCAATCGTTCCTTTACAATGTTCAAAATGAACTGATAGATGGCGCTCATATAGATAAATGATACATACATATTTCTCGGAACAATTGGGTTTCACCAAAAAAAAATCAAATATATTATTAGAAAAAAAAACAAGAATCTATAGAAACTTGATCTAATGGAATATAGGTCTAAGAGTATAGCTATAGCGACCCTAGCATAAGCATATGAGTATCGAAATATAGTTGTAAGTGTGTGTGGTGTAAATATGCTTATAAGGGTATAAGTATAGGTATAAGACTATAGCTATAACAATGTAGGTATAAGAGTATATGTACAAGGCTATAGGTATAGAGCTATAGGAATGAGGCTATAGAAATAAGGCCGTAGGAATAAGGATATAAGTGTAAGAGCATAGGAATAAGTAAGAATATACGGGTATAAGGATAGATACAAGGGTAGGTTAACCGAATAGAAATAGACATCCCTAGTCGATCCTCTTCTCTATAAGAACCTGCGGGGAGTCCATGTCAGATTGCTGAATCCTTGAGAAGTCTCTGAAAAGTCAAGCAAAAAACGCGGAATCCTTCGGAGATCTCCAGAGAACTCATCGGGGGATGCTCGAGGGATTTGTCGTTTTTTGTTTGATTTCTTAGGGACTGCTCAAGGATTTACCAATCAGACATGGACTGGCCGGCGATCCTTGTAGGGAGGATCGACTAAGATTATGCAAAAAGAATGCGTTAAATACTAATAAAACGCATCGTAAAGAACGTGTTCTCGAACTACTTGTTTGCGTTTTTACTGGAAAAATACACGTTTCAACACGTTTTAAAAAGTGCGTTTAAAGTCTAGCGAAAACATGTGAGCTGAAAAAACGCGTTCAAACGCAAATTTTTGAAAATTATTTTTTCGTGGGTAGTACATAGCTACTCTGATATTGGTTTCGAAAGATCTTGTTCTTTTTCTGTGTTATCTTAAGAAAATATCAGGCAACTAAGATTAGCTAAGATACGATATTGAAACAATATTTTTCAACAAATTATAACTACATTGAAGGCAAATTTGTTTTCTGCTAAATGCATTTTAACTCAAGCTCATATAAATTAATTTACTACTGAAATATAAATGCTATTTTTTTAAGTAATGAGATTTATTTGTTTGTTTACCTCTAACTGTCAAGTAAAATAACATAATTTCTTTTATATATACTAGAGATCAGGAAAAAAAACACTCATACATAGTTCATACGATTCACTCTTGCGTTCCATTGTTCATACCCAATCAGTCACGACAAAAAAAAGAGCATAACTTTTCTCTAAAACGAAACGTGATGATATAAGTCATGCTGAGGAAACTGAATCCTGTAATAGTAAATTCGTTGAAGATTGTAACAGAGAAAAAGAGAAAAGCTGAATCATTTTTTTACGCTGTACAAAAAGACCTGTTTTTTAATAATATATCAATTACAATGTTTACATAGACTAAAAATAATTATTGATTTTCTAGATATCTATGTAAGATATGCTATATTGTATCTAGAGAAATGTGTTTTTAAACAAACAACATCTATTGGAGTTAAAATATAATTAGCAGATAACAAGTCTGCCTTAAATGCAATTATAATTTGTTGAAAAATATTGTTTCAATATCGTACCTTAGCTAATCTTAGTTGCCTGATATTTTCTTAAGATAACACAGAAGATGTTGAAGTTTTTAAAGTTTTTATCGATAAAAAGAACAAGATCTTTCGAAACCAATATCAGAGTAGCTATATACTATTAAAGTTCTCAGGTCATACCGAAAGTAGTGGGCCCCGCATCTTAATTTCGCATAGACTGTTTGGAAAAACTTTCTTTTCTTATGAACAGATAGAGCGTCTTTTACTCTATCTTTCTATGCTATTTGATCACTATTCAATCGATATCATAATAATAAAATTATCATAAAAACTGTTTTTTGTGCAACTTCAGCTAGTACCAATAGTGCATATTATCATCCATGCATGCTTTCTTTTCGTTTTTTCTTGATTCTCCTCTTCTTCTTTCTAGAAAACGCACGCTATATTTCTATCTCTTCCTCTCGTGTGTTCAGATTATTCAAGTGCATTTTCTCTTTTCTGTTCTGTACTAGTGTTTCTCTTGGTGGACTTCTTTTATCTCTTTCCTTTGATCTGACTTATGATCTTCAGGAATGTTCTTTAGTGTCCGAGCTCCGGTATATATATCTGCCGCTTCAGACGAGTAGTTCAATCTTGCGCAGCTTAAGCCTGTAATCACTTTGAGTTAATAAACGACTCACAACAGACCACGTAAAAAGGGTTAAGTGTTAGCACTATTCATTTGTTGTAGATGAATAAAGAAAACTTCCGCTTTTATATTAAAGTACGCACAGCACTTAATATCCCAGCAGGAGTGATTTATGATGAACTATATTCTCTCTGTGGTGCTCAAGCTCCTTCTTATACAACAGTTAAAAGATGGCCTAAATGGTTTCGTGAATGCCGGGAAGAAGTTGAAAATGAAGCACAACCTGGTAGACCTGTTACCGAAACAACATCTGAAAATATTGAACAGGTCCGCCTTCTTATCGATGATAATCCTCACATTACAATAGAAGAGATGCAAGAGCGAACTGATTTAAGTCATGGCACCGTTCAGCGAATGATCACCGATCATTTAAACCTTAAGAAGGTTGCCGCTCGCTATATATATACTCAAGGATCTGACTGACTTTGAACGGACTGAACGAGTTTGAATATGCCAACAAAATTTGGCAAAATTTCAAGAAGAAACATGGCGTTTATATGATATAATAACTGGTGACGAGTCGTGGTTTTATCATACACAAATTGGTCGAAGGTTATCGAACGCAGCATTGGTGGGAAGAGGAGATCCTCCACCTACTGTAGTTCGACGTAGTAAGTTTGCTCCAAGAACCTTATTTTCCATCCTTTTTAAGTCAAATGGCCCTGTTTTCATTCATCGTGTAGAACGGGAACAAGCTATTGATCATCATTATTACGTCAACAATTGTTTACGACATCTTGTTGATGAAATCAAACGTCAAAGACCTTCATATGGCACTAATCGTATTAAAATTCACCACGATAATGGAAGGGCACATATTCATAAAGATGTGTCTAATTATCTTGAATCGGAAGGTTTCACAGTAATGCCACATCCACCTAATTCTCCAGATTTATCACCATGCGACTTTTGGTTATTTGACTTAATTAAAGAAAATCTAACTGATCAAAGTGATTCAGAATCATTATACGATGCTGTGAGCGAGTTCATGTATTCTGTAAATAAAGAAGAATATAGAAAAATCTTTGAGAAATGGATTCAAAGAATGCAATTGTGTATAGATAACCAAGTTGATTATTTTGAACATTTGATAAAATAAACAATTGTTGAACTTCTTTCTCTATTTCTTTTCTGTTTCATCGCCATTATTTTTTGTGCACTGTAAAATATATGGATGGCTAGTTATTAGACGAGATAAGAAAAAGAAGATGAAAGAAAAAAGAGGAGAAAAATAAAGAAAAACGAAAAGAAAGCATGCATGGATGATAATATGCACTATTGGTACTAGCTGAAGTTGCACAAAAAACAGTTTTTATGATAATTTTATTATTATGATATCGATTGAATAGTGATCAAATAGCATAGAAAGATAGAGTAAAAGATGCTCTATCTGTTCATAAGAAAAGAAAGTTTTTCCAAACAGTCTATGCGAAATTAAGATGCGGGGCCCACTACTTTCGGTATGACCCAAGTAATTTCCCGCTATGTTTCTTTCTCTTTTTCCCAGTATGTACCTGATCAATCTCATTTACATTCATTCTATCTTGTTGATATATTTACAAAACATAATAGTATGACTGAACCATTACTATTAACTCCGCAAAATATACACGATCTTCAATGTGCTAATTTTTTTGCTTATGTCAGTCGTTATTGTAGTGAAGATATTGTGAAATATTTTGAACTTATTCGTGCTCGTGCAATTCACTCACTTATTGGAATCAATGATATTTTTTTTACCTTTGAAAGAAGATTATCTTGAATTAACTGATATCAAGATAAAACTAACATTTAATCGACCTGATGGTACCTGTATAATCAAGCTGGGAATCCAACATGATATTAATAAGTTATTTGAAAGCCTTCAAAATACATTAGCCAATAATGAGCAAGTAACAACTGCTGCTACCGTAAAAGAAGACCTAGTTTTATCATCTGAAGTTATTGAAAAATATCCATTTCTTAAACGTTTAGTCCATTTTTTCATCAAATTATCTCAAAATGTTAATCCAACAGATGAACCATTTTTACATCATTTCCTCGAAAATCTCCTTTCAAATATATCACTCGCCAAAAGTCGATATCGTTACAGCGAATATATTATTGATTTTGCGCTCTGCTTATCTATTTTAGCAGGACGTAATGCTTGCGAATTTATCCGTCTCAATATACCTGGTGCATTGCCTAATTTAACCATAAATCAAACAAAAATAGCTAAAGAAGGATTTTGTACAGTTGAAGGTGAATTTCGTTATGATGATATGAACAAATATTTAAGAACAATTAATTCAACATTTGTATATTGTGCAGAAAATTGCACTTCTGCTGTACGCGAAATTGTATATGATGTTCAATCAAATGCATTTGCTGGTTTTACATCTCCACTTGATGAACATGGTATGCCACGAATACAACATTTCCAAACAAATTCATTTGAAGGTTTAAAAACTTGGTTTGAACAAAAAGATATTTCTCATCTAATAAATTTACACATGATTCAACCAATATGTATTAGTGATAAAAAAAAACTTCTCCTTTTGCACTTGCTGCATATGGAACTAATGGAAAATTTACTTATCTTGATGTTATTCGTCGTTGGTTTAAAATGTTTGAAGAAAGTTTACACCGATGTGTTCGTATTTTGGGATACTCAATGGCTACTGATCCAAGGATATTTATTGCCAATGAAATTGGTATGTGGTTTTTTTGGTACTTTGTTGAATAGTCCAACAATAGAACATTCTTCATTATTTAAAGTTGCTATGCCAGTTTCTTGGTCATGGTTTTATTTACCAGGTGAACAATTATTTTTATGCACGCAAGATGCACTCACATCTGTACAAACTTCGTAATAGACTTTTGTCATCTTCATCTTACATGTTAATGGGTAATAATACAGTTAGTAATGATTATTTATTACAATTTATCGAATCTAAATCGAAATTCGAGCACAATTTCATAAAATCAGACGTATGTCCTTGTGACAAACAAAATTATAGATCATGTGAAAAGTTATGCGCTTCTTTGGAATATTTAAAAGGTATAAATGGTTCACATGCTACGGTTGTATATCTTACCATTATTCGTTGTATAATATTCGCATTTATTAATACATCAACAACAACAGCGGATCGAATTTATCATGCTTGATTAGTTGTATTTATATGCTGTGTATAGCGTGTGTGGCTTCATTTAGTACCAAAACAAGAATTAAATGATCGTATATCACAAGTGACTCTCATGAAGTCGGAACGTGCAACCTGTGCGTGATATGGGAGAGAAACTTAGAGATTTCTCTAAGGCTAATACGCGTACGCAGAAGCTATCGGGCAGCAGCGATAGTGGATCGCAACGAAGTACTCGGACTGCGCTAGAGAAGGAAACGGTAAACCACTCCAGTACTCTTACCAAGAACATTCAATGAATAGACAATCAACGACGTTTCAAGATATGGTGCTGAAAGGTGAGATCCCCAGGTCAGAAGGCACCGAAAAAATGACTGGGGAAGGACTAAGGTCAAGTACAAATAGTACTGTAAATAATGACGCGATTGAATCAAAGCCGAAAGGAAGTTCAATCGCTGACGAATACAGATACAAACGGAACGACCAAAGTTTTTTGAAAACACACAAAATTGACACACGAAATGTAAGAAGTATGAATCAAGGCAAGCTCGAAATAGTCAAACTGGAGATGGGCCGAATCAAAATAGACATTCTTGGAATAAGTGAACTAAAGTGGCCAGTTTCTGTTCACTTTACATCAGGAAACTACGAAGTTTATTGTTCTGGTAGTGAAAGCATCAAAAGGAATGGAGTAGCCCTGATTTTAAGCAAGAAGCTCGTCACAGGGGTGGTCCTTTTATCTTAATATAATACTAAGTACTAAGTTTTAACTTAACACTTAATATTAATAAAAAAAGTTTAGCAGTCGCCACTTAATTTCTTAATATTAAGTGTGAAGCGAAAGCCTAATACTTAAAATTAAGTGTTAAGTTTCCACTTAATTCTTAATATTAAGTATTAAGTTAATACTTAATTCTTAAAATTAAGATTAAGTTTTCCACTTTAACGCTTAATTCGCTTAAAATTAAGTGATTAAGTGGTTGATATGAAGAAGATGCTATTTTTTAGAAATTTTTTTATTGCAGATCCATGAAAAAAAATTTTATAAAATTTTGCGTCGAAACGCGTTTTTTTATTGGCTCACATGTTTTCGCTAGACTTTAAACGCAGTTTTAAAATGCATTTAAACGCGTTTTTTGAAGTAACAAAAAGCATTCCATAAGACTAAGAAAACCCAAAATTTTTGAAAAAAAAATGTTATTTTCAACTCAATCATTGTCTGCAAGGCACTTTTACAGAATTCGTATCTCCTCTGGGAAAATATCCGTCTATCAATCTACTGTAGCTGTAGTTCACACTGAACGCGTTGCAACGCATCTATTTGTTACGGTAGAGGAGATTCGATCAGAAGAACTTGTAATTACGAAGTCTAGAATATACCACTAGACTATACTTACGCATTTGGGATACTGTTGAATTTTCTACTTAAATTAAGAAATAATTTTCTACGCGNTCACCGTTCCACCGGTTCACCGTTCACCGGTTTCACCGGTCCATCGATTCACCGTACCAACCGGTGAACCGGTGAGCGGTGGCACCGCTGGTGCGGTGAAACGGTGGACGGTGAACCGTCACCGGTGCATCCCTAAAGCAGATGCTTTCAAAGTTATAGTAAATAAAATGTTTTAAATAAAAATCAAAATATTAATTGTGGAATAGTAAAGAAAAAACTAGTAATTATTAATACTGTCCTTTCCGTTGAACACAAAACAGGAAATCTATGTATTTGCATGAAATGTACTTTATTTTTTGAACCTATCTATATGTATTAAATGTACTTTGTTTGATATTATGAATAAAAAGAAATAGTAAATGCTCCATGTGACTTGCAAAATGCATTTTAAAAATTCCTTTTATGTTGGATTCTTGGCGAGGCGAGGCGAGACGAGGCGGTGGCAAGTTGAAGGTCCGCGAAGCGAGGCGGTGACGAGGCGTATATTTAAAAAGAACTTGGTGAGTCGGTGACGAGGCAGAGTTTTAGCTGCCTCGTCCATCTCTGATAGAGAAGGCAGGTGATTGAGAGATAATCAATATGTATTTTTGATACATTTGTCCTGAATAGGTGAACATATAATTGGAACTTGATTAGTTTTGTAAGGATAGTTGAAATCCTTACACCCGCAATATGAATAGTGTTGAAATATTCGAAGTATAATTAGACCTATAGTTCGAACATCTTTCTACAATGATAGTGTAAACTTGTACAGTCAATCAAGGTACATTCTCTGTTCAAGTTGTGAATGCTGAGAACAAGATTGCCACAAAAAATTTAAATTTTCGAAAACAAGCTTATAATAATTCTTCTTTAAGTCAGATCAGTCTGATATCTCGAAAAAGGTTCATAGATGAATAAAAGCGATCCATCTCAATGTAATCAACTGCATGAACTTCGTGGATTAGTAAAAAGATGCTTGAAGATGGACCCTCATTCCTATGGATTTTGGCTAGTTACCTCAAAATCCATTTAATATTATTAAACTAAGAAAAATGTCAGAATTAAACCAATTTTCGTATAATAACATGAAATTTGTGGAAATTGTGAATAAACACGAATGCTTGAAATTGTTTTAGAATAGATGAGAATTGCTTGGAATGAATAGGAATGTGACGAATGTCTGCAAAGGTTTTTCTTTCTTAGGAAAAATTCCTTACCAGTCATTTTCCAAGGAGTACTTGTTATTTCGTTCAACCTTGCTATCTGGACTTGGTAATCTTGAAGGTGTTTCTGCAATCCTCCTTTTAACTTTGTATTTTCTTCTTGTAACTGTTTAATTCCTTCTTTTAACTTTGTATTTTCTTCTTGTGCTTGACGCTGAAACTGTCGAAATTGTTCTTTGAGACATATAATATCGGTATGACTTTGAGTTGCATCACGTTGCTTGTAGACAATTTTGCAATCTTCACAGGTTAATTCAATCAATTGACACTGTGATGTATGCATCTCAATTTCCTTTTTAGCAAACAATGAATGACAGCCAGGACACTCGTGGGGCTGAAAACCACATCCTGTCTCATGTTTTTCGACCGCTTCGTATGGAAGAATCTAAAACAACATATCGATGAAACAGTTTTGGTAGAAGAACAACTAACCTCACGACAGCCGTTTGATTCAAAGATGCAGACAATTTGTAACCTGGATAATTGTCTAATAATGAATGGAGGGCATGGTCTTTCGATGAATGGTTTACATCCATTTGGGCATTGATTTCTACCTTCACAGAGCCATGTTTGAATGCACGTCGAACAAAAGGGAGTTTCGCATTTCTGGCAAGCAACTGGTTTCCATAGGATATTATGACATATCGAAGAACAGAGTAGATCTTCCAAAATGACTCCTGATTGACCTCGAACACGATCTGATGTAAGTCCACCTTCGTTAGTGGATGTCATGTAATAGAATATAATAGTTCTAGAATGGTACGTAAGCTCTTGGGTTAGTTTTCGATGAAACAAATGTATAATAATTGTTGATAATGATGGCATCATTTTGCAAAGTAAAATATATGACAGATCTTTCTTCATGTTATATGAAAGCTAGTGGTTAGTAAAACGCTAACAAGATAAGTGCTCGTTTCTTCCTATTTTCTTTCTGACATTGGAAAAGATAGCGGCAACAATATTATGTTTAAGACAATTAGGATCTGAATTATTCCCTGTTGGCTTATATTACAATGAAGAAGACGAGTAGAAAGTTTTTTCAGGATTCGCATGACTGATGTAGCCGAAAAAATTCCTCAAAACTTCTTCCTTTTCAAAACAATTAGCCGTAATAAAATATAGAAATAAAACTCTAGAGAATTTCACGATTACTTTTTCAACATCTTGTTCTATAGTTGAATGGAAAAGTTTCATTCTGAACTACAGAGGAAAGCTTACTGTTAGATCATGTCAAGTATTGGAAATCGAATAATTCCGCACAAAATTCTTTTCTGATTGCTTATCCTGTTCTCAATTCATGGATATGTGCTAAACGATTGCTCAAGTAATTAATAATCAATCGAGCCATTAGAAATCTGTGCAATCAGAAGTGTACGTATTTTTACACAGGAATTACTTAGCATTTATTAAGAATCGTGGGAGCGCATGTGAATATGGTTGCTTTTTTGGGTCTTGATATACGATCTGTGTGTGTGCAAATCACTGTGAAGAACTCAAATCATCTTGACCATACATAATAACCGACACCCTATTGCAGTCGCAATTAGGACAGTGACTGTTCCATATCAGTTCAGTTCTCATGAACTGCTTGAGCAGTTCCAGTTATTATAAGCTGAACAGGATGAGCACTTCCAGTTTTTATGAGAACTAGAATTGGTCAAGGATGTGGATGTGAATGAAGTTCTTCTCTATACTCCACCCATACCCATACACTCGCACCTGCACACCCACACCCTTCCCGTGCACTTCATTTGACAAACGCTTGCTTGTTTTGAAGTGCAATGATTAGTACATCAATAACCTCACTTGTTGCAGCGTTTTCACCCAAAGCACGCGGGTACCGCATAGGATTCATCTGACAGTCCAATCGGTTTCCAGAAGTGCAGAAATTAACGAATTCATTATGTAACTTGTGATCGCCCTGTAACCCATGCTACGAAGAGCTCTACATGAGTTCTCTTTGACGTCCCTACCATCATCCTCAAGTGCAGTAAGCAGCCTTTCTATAACTTCGCTGATTGCTACCTTTCAGCTCATCTTATCCAGAGCTTCGCATGCTCTCCTCTTGA